TGCATATCAAAATACTTTTACAGCAACTCCTGCGATGGACTTCTTTTTAATTTACATATTCCGTGTTCAGCATGTCATGCGGAATACGTGCCCTATTTTTTTGGTAAGTAATTTTCTTTTTCGAGACATTTTCCATTGTAGGATACACGCAATGTGTTGTTGCTTGGTTTGATGAGGTAAGTCGCTGTTTTCTTCACTATATTATTATTGACTACATTTGGTTACGGTCGTTAAAGTCGGTGACTATCGTCTGAGTTCTTTTGTGATTTAAGAGTTCTTATGGGGTTGTTGTGTTTTTGGCTGACAGAAATTAATTTGTTGAATTCATCTTTTCTTCCTTTTTTTTTGAGTTTCATGTCAGGTCAACCTCACATTCTGATGAATCTCTAACCCTTGCGTCTTGAACTGCTACACTGAAACAATTTCTCACTTTATCTGCTTCTTCCATGCACATGGTTTTTACTTTCTTTTTATTGGGCCTGACACATCCTACAATATATTGAACTTGTAGCGGTTGCTATGTTTTTCCACGCCCACATTTTATTTGCCTGTGATTGGCTAATAAATCACTACTATCTTTATAGATGACAATTTAGCCATCGCAGTCGTTTCTTTGAATCCTTCGGTTTTGAGCTTGCTTACTTGTTCTGTTAGTACGAGTGTAGTGATTGGTTAATTTTTAACCAATCACATATTTTAATGCAAAGATTAAGTTTTCCTATGTTTCCGTGGGAGCCTACCCTTTTTTCTTAAAAGGGGCGACTTTTCACTTGTCGTCAGTAAGATCCTGTAAGATTCCAGCTGTCAACACAAATCCACGATCTTGCTCAACGTACACACAGACACAGCATTTAGTAATATAAACTTACATTTCTGTCTGTGACTTTTGCCAAGTACAATCAACCAGAACTCTGTTGATTCAAACCATTCTATACCACAACACATTTTTTATTTATTGTATTCTTGTGTTATTTATTCTTAACATGCAACTTTGCTCTAATATTGATTTCTGAACATTTATCCCAAGAGAACTTTCTTCAAACAATCAATTGCAAATCATTCTACAGTTAAAGGGGAACAACTTCTTTCCCTTAATCTATACATTGAACACAATTTTATTGCATGTTTGTTCTTGTATGTTATTTCAATATATATTTGTTGATTCACAGTTTGGAGTTATTGTTGTTTATTTGAATCCGGTACGTTGGAAATATTGTTAATATAAATAGTATTGGTCCATCTACAAACCCGGCCATTACAAAGACATACCTTCACCTAAAATATACACACAAAACCCACAACCTTGTTAACATCTACAATCCTACTACTGAATGCTGTCCAGATATATTATAAAAATTTATATCATAAAATAAAATGTAAATTATATCAAATATTAATAAAAAGGAGAATATAAAAAACAATAATGACTAGGTTTGTTTATTGCATTTGCTTTTGAGAGGATTATTTAAAAAAATATTATAAAAAGAAAGTCAGATGATTAATAAAAATATGGCTTGAATATATAAGACTTTGTATGTGGAGGGCCCAGATCTGATTTTGTAAATACTGCCAAAATGAAGCTTGATAGTTTATGAAAAAGGTACATGTCTATAATCTGGTTTTCAAATTTGTAAAAAAATGAGGCTCAAATCTTAAGATCTAAAAATCTACCAAAATAAATTTGGTGAACAGGCATGGTTTAAAATTAAGATATTTTCTTAAATTTTTTTTAACGAATGAGGAATGTAGGTTATGCAGCACAAATTAAAAATTTTGATTTGAATCTGGAGCTGGTTTGTGGCTATTTAAGAAGTAGAATTGGTCTAAGGACCAGAAAGATTTTAGCATTCACAGGCAAGTGACCATGGACTCTTTTTGAAAATACTAAGTTGGTGACAGTGAAGGATTTCAGCATTCACAGGCAAGTGACCATGGACTCTTTTTGGAAATACTAAGTTGGTGACAGTGAAGGATTTCAGCATTCACAGGCAAGTGACCATGGACTCTTTTTGAAAATACTAAGTTGGTGACAGTGAAGGATTTCAGCATTCACAGGCAAGTGACCATGGACTCTTTTTGAAAATACTAAGTTGGTGACAGTGAAAGATTTCAGCATTCACAGGCAAGTGACCATGGACTCTTTTTGAAAATACTAAGTTGGTGACAGAGAAGGATTTCAGCATTCACAGGCAAATAATTGTAGACTTTTTCTGCAGATACTTAGTTGATGACAACAGTAACAAGAGGGAAGAAATAGAAAAATTATCAAAAAGAGAAAGAAAGATGAAAGATCAAGAAACTGAAAGCAGGAAGAAAATTGAAAGAAGATTCTTAAAATTCAAGGCATTGATCCTGATTTTGAACCTTTAAAAATGAGATTTATCTCAATATTGCCCTCATTAATTTATATTAAACACAATGCTATAAAATAATAACAAGAAGAAACAAGAAAATTCAGACAAGAGATATTGTACAAATAAATAGATTTTTATATAACAAATGTACAAAATAATAGTTATGAATGTTGTTTAAAATGGTGAAATAAACTTGTCTTTTTAGATTTTTGTGTGAGGTAATGTTCCAGTTTGATAGACTGCAAGTTATACAATAATTTGTGAGAATTTGAAAAAATTCAATTTAATATTTTTGTATTCAAAATAAACAGATCAAAGTTTGTGGAAAAAGCATGTGTGACTTACATTGTGTTTGATGTTTGAGTGTCTGTCACTTTGTTGTTTGCTGATGTAAGTTTACTTTGCATTGAATGAAGGAAATAGACTGTGTTTATGCTAAAAGGATTTTTAACTTATAGTCTGGACTTCAGTTGAAAGTTATTTTATGATGAGTATTGTCATGTAGTGTGTAGCTTTTTTGGCTGATTTTCCTCACTTAATGTTTCTTAATTGTTTGTTGTTTATATAAGCAATATAAGTCATGTGATAGGCTTCAGAAAATGTGTGAGGAATGCGAAGACTTACCGCCTGCAAAACAAATTTGCTTGGTGTTTCAGGTCCTGTTGAAAGATCGCAGGCAGACATGCAGGGAAAAAAAATTAATAATAAAAAAGACTAAAAATTCAAACCAGCTTGAATTTATAAAACTGGAAGTCTCGGGTGAACGAGAAGTAAGTCTCATATGCAAATTGTAGTTACTCTCGACGTGGGCATAAATAGCGAGTCTGGGAGGAAGACAAGAGAGTGCATTATTGGCGTGACAGTGTACTAATGAGACCGAGAGAATAAGAGGTTACTAGCAACAGCTCAGTTGGTAGACCAGAGGACTGGACAAAAGCAAGCACTTGAATCCATTTCAGTCATCGCAAACGACGGGCGAACTGAATTACCCACAAAATATTTTAAAATTTTGGTGCAACTGTACCTTTGATCAGGTCAAATTAAGGTCAGATGTATGGATGTAGACAACGACATGCCATGTGATATTTTTGAACCAATCAAATTATGTTAGTTGTGTAATTTAATTTAGAGCCTATGTTTTGAAGTTTTGAGAACTATATAGGGTCTGGATCCTCTAAGTGTAAGGAGGAAGATTTTGTGCAAATTTGATTTTTAAATTTTGTATTCTGCTTTATTGTTTTATTATGTCATTGTAATAAATGTTTATTTCTTTAAAATTTCACATTGGTGTTCTCTCCCCAAATCCTTTTAATATTTGGTAAAAACTAAACCCTCGTTTCCTCCGTGTTCCAAAATGAAGTTCTACTTTGTGGAACAGACTCCCATGGAAGTGCTATCTTGAACATTGCAATTTTGATCTCAAGTCAAAAGTCAATTCTTATTTTTCCTCCCTATCACCTTCTCCTCCACTTTTATGACATGTCTCATTCAGCATTACAATTTCAACTGTAACCCTCTAGCTGGAATGGCTCTCAAGCCTTGTATTAGGTAAAACTTTAGTATATTAAAAAGTGCCATGACAGGTGACTATGGCTACAAGAGAATGTAGAAGTATTTCAAGCAATCAGCAGCAAATACCAATGTTCACTATTTACATTATTCGGACTATTGTCATCATCATATTTATCACAATGTTTAGGCTGTTGTATGCTCCGGCCTTCTTCAGGTGGTTGGAATGTTGAACTGAATCCTTTAGACTGTTCTAGTTCCTACGTGCCATGTCAGTTATCAGTTATCTCCTGTTAATTCCCCTCTCCAAGTTCTCCACTGCCTTAACCAGGTATTGAACTCAGACTCTTTGGGTCCTGTCACTGGATCTAACTAATGTCTAACTGTGCCATGTGTCCTTAAGGATATCTGTGTATAAATTTCTGGGTATTATAAACCTAATGTCTTCAGCAACCATTTTTTACCAGTGCTCATATTGCAATTTTTTGCTGTTATCATTGTATGTTTTTACCAGAGTTCATATGGCAACTTTTGTTGTTATTATCGCTTTTCTCTGGCACTCCTTATTACTGATTCCCATATTGTATTCATTTCTATGCTTGGTTGGCTCAGGAGATTTTCGTGGCCTAGCATATGTGCTGATTCCTTAAGTTTACGAATTTTCTAATGATGTTCTTTGTCTATGATCTTAACCTGATTCCACAGAGGGTGGTTATCTCCCTTTTCTTTCCATATGTGGTCAGCCACGCCTGATTTTTCCACTTTACAGCTTTCTGGTGTTGTTTAAGCCTTACCTTTGACAACAAAGATGAGGACAATAGTCTGAATAATGTAAATAAATACCTCACCTCAGAAATATAGACAAATACCAGTGTTGTAAAAATATAGTGAGACTCCAAGATTAAAACAGTTTTGAAAATCAAAATAGACTATTGAATAACGACAATAAAAAAGACTAAATAAGTCCATATATATATGGAAGACGTTCATATTTTGATGAAAGTACAGTCCTAATTGTTTTTGTGAGCTTTCTTAGTTGTTAATCTAAGGGAAATAATCCATATTTCAGAACGACTGAAACTCTTTAGTGTCAGGAAATCACAAATCATCTGAACTCCTCAAAATCGCACTGCCAAAATGGCGGACGTCGAAGCGAACGTGGAAGAAATGATTGCCGAAGAAGATTCCAATCCCATTGCAGGTCTTCATAAAATGAAGGTAAAAATACAATATTCCCGCCCACTATTAAACGTTCAGTTTTATTTGCAGACTTAAATATGACGAATGTTGATCGTTTTATTAAAAAAAAAAGCGAACAAGAATTAGATATCCGAGTTAAATTTTTTTATCGTTGGTTTTTACTTTCCAACCTATTATCTGAAGATACCGGGGAAAATTATTCTGTTTTAAATCACCTTCAAATGTTTCTAAATGGCAAGAAAAGAACAGTCTTGATCTCTAAATAAAACATTATTATTCGCTTATATTTATGTTCAGTGTTACCGTTAATAATGGAATCGGCTTACTTCTTAGGACCTTTCTGTTTTCGGATTCCTGCAACAATGTTTTTTCTGCGGACACAAAAAATACGGAATAATAAGCAATCAAGATTTTACTGTATTTTTGTCTTCTTGTCTATCTGCACAAATGATAACTTGTTAAAAATGATTATTTTGAATACTGCTAATAATTGTGTTCACTTCTCCGGGGTGTCTTTTTTTAACGAGTCTATTTAATCTTCTTCCTTGTTGGCAAAAGGACAGTCATATTTGTCGTGTGTCTTTTTTGTCACGTGGGGTTGTTAGGAAAAGTAAACCTGTTCCTCATTTCTTGTCGGCACGTCTAGAAAAGTGAGAAAGCCAATATAAAAATCTGTTTCTAGATTTATTGATGCAGAACAAAAAAAAAAAAAAATTACACAAAGAAAGGGAAGTGACTCGTGGTTCATATATGACCCATTCATATATCAGTTTGTCAGGCTGTGTTGTTTAGCTTTTGTTTTATTTATCGGACATAATATTTTTTTCTCTTTTTTTTGGTGGATGAAGATTTATGACTGACAAACATAAGTTGAAAAAGTCGTTACTTTTTAAAATTATTTTCGAAATTTAAATGGAGATATGAACAATTTTTAGGCGTTTTTTTAAAATTCATTTTTTAATTAAAAAAAAAAACAGACGCTTTAAAAAAACAAAAAAAATCTCTCCAAGTTTTTGCTTGATTTTTGAAAATATGATTTTAAAATTGAATTTTATTAATATTTTAATTTAGGGACCTTCATGAGATTGCTAAAAAATAGATCATAGCATGAATAAAAAAAGTCTTAAACTTGATGAAAATAATTTTTTATTGTCTAAAAATGTTTTAGAAAGAGGAAAGATCAAAGTATTTTTTTGATTATTTTTTTTTTAAATTTTCGTTAAAAATCTTTTTTTTTTTTTTTTTTGAATCGGGAAAATTGACATAAAAATTGCTAATTAATAACATGTTTTGCAAAAAAATGTATCTACAAAAAAAGTTCCTAGCACTTTTCTGAAAAATTGAATGTGCTTTTTCGCTGGAAATTTTTGCACATGTTTTTAGATTGTGATAAATTTAAATTAAAACTATACAATTTTAATTTAGTTTTTATTGTCATTTTTGTTGTACATAAACTTTTGACAACACTGTTTTAAGAATTTTTTTTTGTGGGGGGGGGTTGTTAAGTTTAACATTTCAAACGATTCATTTGCATACCAAACATTGTTAATTACCTTACAATACATCCCACAAAAAATGTATGTTTTTTCCTAACTAGCTTCATATTCTGAGTCTTCCTTTCGTCTGCCGTTTTATTGCAAATGTATGACTTTTCTTTCATTTGAAATAAAATGACAAATACCGTTTGAAATACAATTTATCTATATTTATTTCAAGTTTTTTTTCTCTTAAGTAAAAACTGAAATTTAATCTTCGTGAATAAAAATTAATGGTTCAATTTTTATTTTTGCATGAGTTGTTGCTAGTTTTCGGAAATATATTTTCGGACGATAATCTCCCAGAAACAGGAAAAAATAACCTTATTTTGATGTCTGAACATTTTTCTTTCCTTGTTCATTCTTTCATCAGTGTGTCTGTGTTGGGGTAATGGTTAGCGTGCTAGTTTGGTTGACCATTACAAGTAAGTTTGATCCACACTGGATGTTCTATGGATCTTCTTGTAGCAAAACAAAACTTACAATTCAATTCTCTCCCAGGATTGGAATCATTCTTCTTTCTAATCTGATAGCATTTTGGTTTCGTAGTTTCACATAGCTTTTCTTTTTATTTCATAAGTAAACGATTTTTAGACACAACAAAAACCGAGATCTCAGAATATGAAGCTAGTTAAAAAAAAAATTTAAAAAAATGAAGAGGCTATAACTGAAGTAAGTAAACCTGTGTTATGAGTGAATCGTTTGAAACGTCTTAATAAAAGATAACATTCTCTGTTAGATACACGTGACTTTTTTTTAAGCCATGAAAAAAATATGGAGTGTCAGTAAATTGTGAAAACATTCAGTATCTGTCTATATTTCTGAGATGAGGTATTATGTACACTATTTACATTATTTGGACTATTGTCCTCATCTTTATTTATCACAACACTCTAGCCTTCTTCAGGTGGTTGGAATGTTGAACTGAACCCTTTATTTCACTTGCTGGGGTAGACTGTTCTAGTTCCACGTGCCATGTTTGATGGATGTCAGTTATCAGTTATCTCCTGTTAATTCACTTCTCCAAGTTCTTCACTACCTTAACCAGGTATTAAACTCAAACTGTCACAGGATCTAACCAACATCTTTATCCACTGTGCCATGTGTCCTTAAGGACATCTGTGTACGAATTCCGGGACTTGTAAACTTAATGTCTGAAGGATGAGGACAATAGTCCAAATAATGTAAATAGTGTAAAAACATTCAATGTTACTAAAAAAAAGTACCTGTGAGTTATCTGTTGCCATTTTTTTATGAATACACATGTGTAAAAATATACTATTCCAAAGATTCATTTAACAGCCTGAAAAAAAAAAAAAAGGAAGAAAAAACAAACATTTTAAATACCATATCTAACTTTATAAAAGATCACCAATATAGGTGGCAACAGATAACGCACAAGACATGCATTTTAAAAAGAGGTGACAGATAACCGACAAATATCAAAAAAAATTCTGCTAAAAATTAGAAAAGCTACAGCCACTCTTTTATGAGTTATGATAAAAGAAAAATGTAGTTTACTCACACTCTGAAAATATAACTCACATTGTTAGATTTCATGCAGAGTATTTCTAATATATTTTTTAATGTGATTAAAAACCAAAACAACTGTTTGCATTATTTGCATTTGGACGGTCGTCTTCATTATTATTATCACATTTCGGACGTTGTACTCTCCAGCCTTCAGGTATCTATTGATCTGTGGGTAATCTTCAGGGAACTTTAAACTGAATCCTTTATATAATCTGTGTATCTGGTAGTACTTGAGATATTGTTCTGCTGTCCATGTGAAAGTAGTGAGCTTGGTTTGTGTGAAAAGGGCTATCCTTGAGTTCTTTTTTTAAGTCCTCTTGGTTCCCCCCAGTTAAGCTAGACACTATTTGTTTTCCTGGTTATTGTGAATAAGTGTTGCTCCTGGCCTGTTCCCAGCATTCTCTTTTGTTATGATCCATGTTGAGATCCCCCCACCCTCCAGTTTGTTTTTTGTCCCCTTTTTCTCATCTCGGCTGGGTCAGACTTTGATTTTCCCATACTGTCATTTATTTTTACCCTCCCCACTCCACTAGTGAGTGTGCGGCTTGATTCTGCATATCTGCAGAATACAGCAGCCACTCTCATTATTTTGAGGGGTGGACGGGTCCTACTAACATGTTTTGTTTTAGATTGTTTTATTACAATCTTTTAGTAGTTTTCTGGGTTCATACCCTCCCCATTTCATGATTCATGAAATTTTTATATATTTTCATAATTAAACATTATGAACTTTCACAAGGTTTTCATATCATGGAGTGTTTCTGTAGGTTCCCCTGTGAATATGGGGTATATGCAGAATTGAATGGTGGGGGATGAATTCTTTTGGTAAATTGATAAATTGTATTGGATGAATGGGTCATGATTGTGATTGACTAGGATAATTAGTGAAGACCAGCCTTTGCCCACTTCCCCTTTGGCTTTGTACCACAATTATTGTATTTATTACAATAATAAATATATTGTTCTACTGTCCATCTCTAGAAATCTCTCTTCTTGACCTTCTTTAGTACTGCTCAGTTATTGCCCTGTTTCCACAGTGTCTCTACTACCTGGCTCTGGGATTGAACTCAGTGTTATGTTTAAGACTCCAAGTTCAAGTTTGTCCCATGTGGCAATATCCAAGCATTTGTTTATAAATTTGGTGACATTGTGAGTTCAATCCCTAAGCTTGGTAGTACAAAATTTAGATTCGGTGGAAACGGGGTGAATAGAACGTGATACTCCTCGACGCGGACAGTGGAACAAGGACAGTCTACTTCTGTTGATTGAATGAAGCATTTGGTTTGAAATTCCGTGAAGTTTACTTGGGACCAACGAGCACAAAAGCCAGAGCGCATAACAACCAAAATGCTGTGATAACAACAAAGATGGAGATATTAGTTCGAATGTAAATAATATGAATTCTTTACTCCAAAATGGAACCTTTGGGATCCTGAAGACCCCCCTCCCCCAATGCAGTTTCAGGGGTCATTCCTTTGTGTAGCACCTCTCCATTGTACTAAATATGTAGGAACTATCCCTGACACCTTAAGCATCCTTGAAGGAAAATGTTAAAGGAACCAAACTATTTGTGTATAAAAACTTTATGTCCATGTAAGGGGCTCCATAATACTGCACAGTGTAGTAGGGTCAATTGGGCACCATCTGTGAGAAAAAAGAGCACCATGATGCAATTTGCATCACCAAAAATTAGGAAATGGCATGCTGTGCTGCTTGGCATTCGTGACAGAAGCTCAAATACAAACCTTTCAGAGTTTAGGTGTCAATCTGTTCACAAAGGAGTCAATGAGTCTAATGGTGATCACGAAGGTATAATCAGTAATCACTAGTGATGCTATGTTATACCTTCATTCATCTTCCCACGGGGCCTAAGACTCAGCATGGAGGCCTACATCAAGTGACTCGAGGAGGTAGTGCTCCCATGGGTCAAGAGGGTGGCTGCTAGAAGAGCCGATATTTGGCAACAGTACTCTGCGCCATGCCACACAAGCAGTCATGGCTATCAGACAATTTTTGTGACCGCATCACCACTTACATCTGGCCACCTAACTCCCCAGACTGTAACACCCTTGATTATTATGTGTGTGGTGTAGTTGAGCGAGAGGCCAACAAAATTCCTTGTAACATCCAAAGATGAACAAGGATTATGGCAGCGTTCCCCAACTTAAAGAAGGAGACTGCCCAGAAGAGTTGCAGGAGATTCCAAAGTTGTCTGGAGGTTGTGGTTGAAGCCAATGGTGATAAGCTCACTCTTTATTATTTCAAGATATTTTTGTGAAATTTTGGTAAATATGTCTGTTAAAATGAGATGTCCATGTTATTTTCATTTTTTTTTGTGTGTGTGTGTGTGCATGCGCGCGCATCATTCAGACGACAATTTATCCATCGCACCCTGTAAATATGTGAAGCTATTGGTATTTGACCGCAAAAATGTTTTATTTCCATATTAAGAGCTTATATGTTTGAATGTAGTCTTTTTTGTTTGTTTTTTTTAAATGCGCAAAACAGGCTTAGACAACTTCTGGTGTCAACCAAAAATAGTTCTCGATAATGAGATTGTTTAATGATAAATATTTCCAGGTTTTGGTTTTTATAAAGAAATTTGTTTAAAAACAAACTCACCACCTAAATAAATAAGGTCAAAGGTCAAGGAGTGATTTCTTGTTTGTCCTGGTAATCTTGTTAGATATGTTTAAAGTAAAAATAAATGTTAGCAATTGCTTACATTATATAAGCAAATTATAATTTATTCTAGTTTTTCTAATCTACCGTTTAGTACAAATTTCTGGTTGATTTTGTACAATAATGAATCCTGCTCCTTTAGTTTTTAGTCATGTAGAATTTGTGTTCTGAAGTGATTTTTTCTTTTCATATTAATTTGGGATTTATGAGGCTTGATGAAAAGCGAAACTTTTGTTTAAAAATTCTTCTGAATGTACAATTGTTAAGGGTGAGAATAGACTTGTCAGTACCTATCCCCACATCTTTTAGCCATTTAGCAAGTTCATTGTGGCACAAGGTCACAGTTGTAGAGCACCCAATAAAGGTCAAGTTATGTAATATATTCAGCAACATGGCTTGGCAAAGATAAACATTGTAAATGGAGTTTTTATTATTTGCTTAGCAACACAAAAAAAATAAAATGAAACTGTTGACGTGACTTCAAATTTTAATAGGAGTTTAGGTTTTTCTATTTATCTTTTTATATTCAAGTATTATTTAGTCATATTAGTCTTGACTAATTTTTTTTTAATTGCTAGTGAGTGACTTTTTAAAAAAATTATTTTGCTGTCAAATCACTGACAATTCAGTATCTATATTTCTGAGATGAGGTATTATGTACACTATTTACATTATTATTTATTACAACATTTCGGCTGTTGTATGCTCTGGCCTTCTTCAGGTGGTTGGAATATTGAACTGAACCCTTTATTTCGTTCACTGGAGTAGACTGTTCTAGCTCCACATGCCATGTCTAATGGATGTCAGTTATCTCCTGTTAATTCCCCTCTCCAAGTTCTCCACCGCCTTAACCAGGTATCGAACTCACACTCTTTGGTTCTTGTCACTGGATCTAACTAACGTCTTTATCCACTGTGCCATGTGTCCTTGAGTGTGAGTTTGATACCTGTCTTTTATGTGCCAGTACCTTTCAGGATGCGGGTGATCATGGCTCTCCATAATTTCCTGTCTTTTGTTGCTCTCAGTAATTTCTTTGCCCTTTAAATCCTCTTTGTACTGAACTGCCATCTCTTGTTAAGTAGGTTACTCAAGGTAACCTCCGGCTTCTCTGCCTTGTCCTGTCATTGTTAAAATTCTCTTACCAGGAGGGAGGCTCTCTTTACTCATTATGTGGCCTGTAAATTTCTACTGTCTCTTTCTGATTGTAAGTATAAGTTCCCTTTTCTTAAAACTTCATTATTGTCTACATGCTCTATCCATGGTATCAATAAAAGCACATTGTTGTTGATTCAAGACTCTTGGAGGTTGTCCAGCATTCACTGCCATATATGATATTAAATATTATATAGACAAGTGCTATAAAAATATTAAATAAAATTCATTTGTAATATGAGGAAGGATAAGAAATTATCATAAAAATCATTTTTTTTTTTTTTTCTTATGTAAGTCACTTGCATGGATATGTATGGTTGATGACATTCTGACATTATTTCATTTTTAAGATACCATGCAAAAAGACCCCCCCCTCCAAAATTGTTCTTGATATGAGGAAGTGTTGGTTCCAATCCTAATTGGAATGTCTGCAAAATGCTCCCTCCCCCCTGGGATTTTTTTCTTAACCAATAAAATAGGCTCAGTCTCATTCTTCATATTTCTGTTCTTTCTTGTAAAGCCAGAACACTGCAATCGCTTGTCCATAGCCCCTTTTTTTGTATTAACGCCATTCTTCATTTATGAACTTTTTGCTTTATTATTGTTCAGTTATGTACCATGCATGATACATGTTTAGGCTATCATGTATCTTTTGATACATGACTGATGAGGCAGATATTTTTTCTCCACAGTAGGTTGCCATTTCTTTCTGCAGTAGACCAGTTGCCATCCAAGGCTATAGAACCTGGTCTGTCCTGCTTTGTATATATTGTTAGCTTTCTTAATATTATTTCTTGCCCTATTCTTTCGCTTGTTATTGTTTATTGCAAACTTTGTTGATTCTATTTGTTGGGCAGTTCTGATGATTACATTTAACTATGGCCAAACTATGCTTCAGGAATGTTTCAAAGTTTGTGAAATGTTGACCCAAATTCAGTGAAGAGAGATTGCATAGGGTCATGTCTATCACATTTTAATTCTATGAGGTTCACTTGAAGATATCAACATTTTAGGACCTTATTTTTTAACAAACTATTAATCGTCAATAAATTTTCTTTACAATGGTATATGATCTGTTTTTGAAAATTTGCCCAATGAATATATTTGGGGAAGTGTGGCCCCCGAATTTTTGCAATTTTAAAAATTGTAGATTTTCAGAGTTCATGACTGTTGACATACCATTATTTTTCTTGAAGTCCTTGGGTCATATTATAATGTGAAATAAAAATTTATTTTCTTTGGGGTATAAAATTTTTATGGGACTTTATACTAGGGCCTGGACTACATTAGTTTGGCAGGGAAAGACCATTTTTATACTAGTTTTGCATGTGGTAAGGTTTTGTCTGCCTTGAAAATCAGTATTGGAAATACTGGTATTTACCTGGGCTTGAACACTAACCTCTGGCAGCAATGAGAAATGTGTAAGTATCTCAATCAGTCAGAATTGTCTGTGTATGATTTTGAGAGAGACAGTAAAATATATGTCAAAGTAAAACAGTGTGAATTATTTTGTTTTGTTTTTTTTAGTTCTAAAACTTTGTAAAGCATTCCTTCAGTTGATTGGAAGGAAAGTTCTTAAGATTTCTAAATGAATTGGATTGGCTATTTCTTTGAATTTTCTAGAATTTGGTGCTGCGTAAATAGGGTGCATCTATGTACTTTCCCAAGCATTGTTCTGTTTATCAAGTGCATCTTCCATGGTTTTTAAATCCTCTCTGTCCAAGGCTGTCATTCAGGTACTTTTGCTATATGACTTCAAATCTGAAATGAAAGCTGTTGTCAAGTTGCATTTTGGTGTCCAAACAAACAATACAAGATGAGTTTAAGTACTTTTGTGAAGGCGACACCAGCCTTGAAGATCTGCCTTGCTTGAGATGACCATCAGTGATGGATAATGAGCACCTGTTGCATACGTTTGAAGCTGATCCAGCCTAAATTTCACAGATAGTTTTGAGATTGGCTAAAATCAGCAATCTTAACTTCCTCCATTATGAATTCTTCTTTCTGATTCTTACATGAATAAAATACAGAAAGATACAGTGAGTGACAATGAAGAAGCAAAGGAAAAGGTTGGGTATTTGAACATTACACTCTTTTGTTATTTCTAGTAAATTGTTCTGTGTGGCTAATCCCTTTAATCCAGCCATTGGGGAGGTCAGGATTAACTTCTATGCATTCTCATTAGAAATGTCTGGTGTATTTTCAGGTTGCAGAATTGCGTAAATTGTTAAAGGACCGTGGTTTGCCTTGCCTTGGGTCCAAACCTGCACTGCTGGCACGGTTGCAAAAAGCTCTGAGTCCTGGGGCAGGTAAGAATTTCTTTTTCTATATCAAATATCTTTGAAAGAAATTATTAGTACCCCAAAATATTTTATGTAAGTATTTGTAGGTCAAATAATGGTGACAGCAGGAAAACATTTTTATATTTAATGTTGATATTTTTATTTCAGTCCCAGAATTTATGATTAAATTCCAAACAGAAATTTCACATTGATGGAAATGATTTTTTTTTTTTTTTAATCATTTAGCTCGAAGCAAGGTAATAATGTCACCAAGACGCAAGGGTTTAGTAAGGGTAGAAAAGAATGAGAAAAACTTATTGACAAGAAAGGACAATAAAAAAAAAACAGTTCAAGAAGATGAAAGCTGGCGATTTATGTTGAATTTAAATTTTTGAAGAATGCAGGTGGCAAAGAAGCAAGAAATTTGGACAGTTCCACAGGCAAGAAATGCGAGGAAAGTAACTATTAGAATATAAGTTACGATGAGACCTAGTTGCCAATTAAGTAGCATGTTTAAATTCATGCAGTTGAGATACCAAGGGGGAGAGGTCATTAGGATAACTGCCATGAAAATATTTATGGAAAAGACAGCGGGAATCCATGGTGGGAAATTGACTGAAGTTGAGTTGCCAGGTCATGACCAATAACATTACAAACCCTTCTTTGGATTTTGATGAGGATCTTGAGATATATAGCCAGACCATCGGACAAGGCATGGTGGTAATATTCACTGCATAGATGAATGGTAGATTTATAAATGTGCAAGATGGATTCTGTTGAGAAAAATTGTTTAGCACAACAAACCATAACTGATCTTAAATACTTTCAATCATTGGTACTATCTGCTTGGTGCTTCATGACACAAAAGGCCTCTTGGTGAGGTTTCTGTAATTGGATCTTTCTTCAGGGTGGAGTGATTGGCCCTGTGCCCAACCTCCATACTCTGAGGAAGAGCAGCTTTTTTTTTTTTTTAATTTTTATTTTAGTTTTCCTTCCCTTAGATCAGTGGGTCCCAAACTTTTTTTTTCTTCTGGGCTACATTTTTGGAATAAAAATTTGCTCATGCCTCACCAAATTTTATGTGATAAAAAGAATATTTAAAAATAAAAAACAGAGAGAAGATTAAAGGGAGATAACCATGGATTAAAAAGTCAGAACATTATCATTGATAACTCTCTCCTCCAATTTGCAGACCCTAGTTACTATATTCTTAATACTTGGCATAATGCAAAAATGCCACAATGATAAAATCACTCAATAATTATTTCTAACTATTTATACTGGAACTCATGCAAGTAATCCATAATAATATTTTCAATTTTGAAATCATATTTATTTTTGGCATATGAATTTTTTAAAACTGTTTCTAAATCTTTGTCTTTCAATCATTCCGCCTCACCTGCTATCCTCTTCCCCGACACCTATGAGGTGTGCCACACTGTTTGGGAACCACTGCCTTATGTATTCCCATGCTAATGAATTCCATCTATCTAGATTTGGGAATGCGTTCTTTCTTCCAGGCTGGTAGCCAAGAAAGGCTAGAGAAACCAATATATCATGTTATTTAACCCATAGCTGGAGAATAAACTTTCCCAATAGCATTTGCATGAAAGTGAATGTAACAAGCTCTATTGGAATTCAAACTCAGCTCACTGAATTCTTGTTCTGTGCCATTACCATGACACCACCTGTATATCATTATATAGATATACACATTAGTTTTGGCTTTTCATAAACATACAGTCTGTGTGTGCAACTGACAGAATGGAAGTCTTGGTTTTATTTATTTACTTTTCAATTATAAAGTATCAAAAATAAAATGGTAGAATGGTAGACACTTTTTCTTGACAGACTCTATTTTACACATAAGTTTACCATTTGTTCATTCATTGAATATTGCTGTCACATCTGGTGCTTCTGTTATGTATTTAGAGATTTGTGATGAAATCCAGAGAAGAATCTGCAGTGTTATCAGTCCCGATCTGGCATCTCACTTTCAGTCACTTTCTCACTGCTATAATATAGCCTCCCTGATTTTTTTCTATGGATATTGGTAATTTTCCTCTATGGTACCTTGACTTTACAAATTTAAGTACAGTACTAGATTGGCAGCTAGGTCTCATCATTTTACAGTTGAAATGGCTAGATGTAACTGTAAGTTCTATGCTAACAGTTTCTTCTTTTACACTTCTCGCTTTCTTGCTTTCCAGTCAACATTGATCTTCAAAAATTTAAATGCAATGTGAATCAGTATCTTCTGATTCCTGTTCTTGTTCTCTCACCTTAATAATGTTTTCCTTTTTCTCATATTCTTTCACACTCAGTAACCCCTTGTGTCTTAGTGGCTTTATTGCCTTGCTTGGAGTGAAGTGATAAAAAAATAAAATTTAAACTTTATTTTTGGTATTTTTCTGAAGTTATTGTTGAATTACCATGTTAGCTGGATGTAGCATTGTGTCTTCGGACCAGTACCTGATTAGGTATTTCGGGGAGCTTCATGCAGGGTCATTGTGGTTCGATACAGAAAAACTGGCATGAGTGAAAAATGGCCCTACTGTCAAGAAAATTACAGATTATGAAAACAGTCGAACGATTCCAGTTTATACATGTACCTTATATATTCATATATCATGTAACTTTTGAAGACCTAATTTTGATGTTAATTATAAGGGGTATAAAATTATTGTATTTACTGCTGGTTCTGGCTATGCCATTGATCAAACTATGTATCCATTTACTATAGTCAAAAAGTACAGCTGTATTTAAAATAAACATTGTGTGTTACATGAGTATATATGGTACAGCAGCAGGACTGGATGGTCACTACAACATTTTGGCATTGGGGAGAGCAAATGGGGTCAAATAGGGTACCTTTCCTCACGAGTGGACAGACTGTCAGGCAGAACGGTTCCTCTTTTATAGAGTTTGAATTCTTTTTTCCTGTCAGCTTGATTAAGAAAGGTCATCATTATTTACAGCTCAGTGTACACTCATCTTGGGCTATTTTCTTCAAGACTGTTCAGAGATATGATAAAGATCAGAATGTGCCCCCCCCCCCCCAAAGAGCTGTCATGCCTGATTAAAGGGTCAGTCTTCAAATTTATTTAATGAGAGTCATTGTATATTGCTACATAGATGGTGTATGATATTCTGAAGAATTGGTGACTTATCTTGTCAACCAAAACACTCCTGTGTTGCAGTTGCTTGCTTTTTGTTTTTAAAGGAAAAAGGGTGGGGGGAAACCTTCCCACTGGACAGGGCCAGTAGTGTAGGTAAGTGAATGTATATATCTGTTTCACTCCTAGCCAATCGGAAATTCCCTTGGGGAAAGGTATGAATCCATCTCCCTAAGCTATGGGTTAAATAGTAAGACTTGTATCTGGAAAAATTATTGTTATTCAAAAAATAATTGTTAATGCAATATTCACTTAACCCCCCCCAAAAATTATTCTTACAATCTGAGAATGTTTAGGCTTTAAATAACCTACAAAGTTGATAAACAGTAAAAAAAAAAAAAAGGAAAGAAAAGTCAATCAATGGCCAAGTTGAGTAGACTCTTTAAAAACTGCTCATTTTTTTCTGCCCTTGAGCCTGTAGTAATCTTCCTTTCGAATGAGTGATGCAAACCATATGGGGTTTTGGAAACTTCCATTCATACTTTGACAGAAGATAACTTCTATTTTTACAGGTAAAGGGTTATGAATGTAAATCCATTGTAAAACCATAAATGTAACCTTCTATCCCTACTGCAATAACAAAGGAAACGTGTATATTAAAAAAAAACTCTCTCTTATTCTTTGTGTTGACTAGGAGAGTGAAAGACTTGCTTTTAAAAAACACAAAACAATACTGGAGGGTAAAGTAAGATGATATTTACAAACACTATGTTTTGTTCAATTTCACAAACCAATTAATGAAATTTGTATCAGTTGATTTGTTTGGAAAATACTTTGACAAAACCCTGTTTTGCACTTTAATAATTTCTTTAATTTCAATTTTATAGAACTTCATGGTAAACAATATTTTTTAAGAAATTTTTTTTTTTTCCTTTTCAACAGTGAAGAATAAATTTCTTACTCTAGAGCATGCAGCATACAACTGGCCATGCTTAAATATTTCTTTCTGGAGCCAAATTCCAATGTTTTGAAGCATTTGGCCTTGTGATCATGCATTGTCTCATTTATATCCTACTAGTCTTGAAATCCTCTGCCTGTTTGAAACTCATCCTACTGTGTTTATATTTACAGTGCTACTACTGTGCATTATATTTTACCAGAATGAGATATATATATATATATATATATATATATATATATATATATATTCATTAATTTTTTGAAAAATTAATGTAATATTATTATCTAAGCTATTCACCATAGTAAAACCAACTGTATTTTGTACTGACTTACTTCTCCCCAAAATTTGGTTTTGATTGGTTAATGTATGGCTAATTTGGAGGGTGTGATGGATAAACTAACAGAAGTCGCATAATTTTATATATAATGTTTGATCTATATGGTGATATTCAACACTGAAATAAATGTTTTGATTTTTTTTTTTTCTTTTACAGATTCATTTACAGACATTTGCCAATTAAGCATAAAGCAATCAGAAGTGGATGGTAGAGTAAAATACAAATCAGATTTAATCACAGATTTGACCATGCAACTCTTTTTTAGGTATTGCGGATTTTACAAGTAACCTCCGCTAAATATTGTTATTGCATCATTTCTATGTAAACGACGTTTTGGTTGAAAATTTTAATTGTAAAGATTAAATTTTTTTTTTTTTTTTCAATTTTATTTTTAGCTGCTAGTGAGGAAGCAGAGGCAATTGAAGAGGGAGCTGAGGTAATAATAATAATAATTTTTTTATTTTTTGGTCATGAAATTGAAACACATGAGTGTGCAAAACTTGTAAGAGGCGACAAAAGGACTGATATCTTGAACATTTTTATATCATCATGATGATGATCATTAGATGAGGAATTATCAGTTATTATAATTGAAGAAAATGAATGTAAGGTTGAGTCTCACTGAAACCTTATTCTTTATTTCTAATCTGTGCTGTTGACTAACGACCATAGAATGATGGCGTCACACTAGCTGCAATAGAAAGTGACTGATAGGGTCACACTAGCTGCAATAGAAAGTGACTGATAGGGTCACACTAGCTGCAATAGAAAGTGACTGATAGGGTCACACTAGCTGCAATAGAAAGTGACTGATAGGGTCACACTAGCTGCAATAGAAAGTGACCAAAGTTAAAATGAAAAAAGATGTGTTAAAATTATGTTCTATAAAACACAATGAAGCTTTGTATATTTATTATTTATGCAATCTAATCTGTCCTTTTTAGTAATGAGATATTCTTTTGTTATGGCAACATTAAGCAAACACACTTTGTGTTACCATAGCAACAGAATATTCCTTTTTAAGTAAGGGAGATTTTGTAGCTAAATTTTCATTTATTTGTTTTGTTAGATTTTATGAGTTTTGCTTTTAATGTATTATTATTGGTTGTTGTTGGACATTTGGTTGAACGGACATTTCACTGAAAAAGTACAAGTAAAAATAGTAACAAGCAATACTTTAAATATTTTAATTAGCTGTATTATAAGGTAGAATAGGACTAATAATTACCCTTGAATTTCAAGTGATTAAATTACTAAATTTAAAGTTAAAAATATTCTTATTTCAATATTTGTTTATTGAAATTAGTATTTTTAAAAAATTTGACTGTATTTGGGTAAAAAGTAGCACCTAATTATTTAAATTCGTATTTAACAGTAAGATAAAAGCTAGTTCATCCCTGATCATTAAAAGTGAAATTGAAAGATCTTTCATATCGTAAAAGCTTAAGATTTTTCATGTAGTAAAATGTGCTTTTTCTCAAACTACTTATCATCTTACAATAATATTTGAAGTAAAATGTAATATATACAGAATAGATTTAAAAAAAAAAAAAGTCTGTCAAAAAAACTCGAAAAAATATAAATTAATCCAGTAAATAAATATAAATATATGTAGCACATTATGATAAAGAGTTTGACATACATAGTAAGTACACCACTACATTTTCAGTCAAATGTCCAAGTACCAATTAGTGGTAGTACCTTTGTAGTGAAGTGATTGTGGTCCAATTCATCTCAATAAGGCAGGGTCAGAACTGAACATCCAACTCTCGCATATGGCTCATGGGCACTGCGATGGCCAATGGCATCAACCTGCTGGTTAAACTGTGTGAGGGTATTTGGGAGGAATTATCAACCCGACTGATGAAGGGGAACGCTTCTCCCCACCCAAACAGCCATCGGCCAAACATCAGCATGGGCATGGGAGATGCGCCTTACAGATCAATGGTTTTACCAATGGGCGAAGGAACTTCTGAGTGGGAGGGATGGGGTAATCTCAACATGACTGGTGCAAAAGGAACTGGCAAACCATTGCTTTATTTTGCCGTGAATGTCACCATGAGACACAATTACAACAGAAATAGTGGAGAGTGGTGACCACAGTGGAGCAAAATGTGTTCTCATGAATTGTATAGTAAATAACTCTCGATTAATCTAGCTGAAAATATAATAACTGTAACTGCAAAATTAAGTATGGTCATTGTCTTTTGACACTATGGTTTGTGTATACTTTCATTGGATATGTTTTACTTTTAAAAGATTTTTAAAAACGATTCTTACATGTGACAACAGTGCTAATAATATAGAGATCTAAGATTAATTCAGCAGGAAATATGAAGAAAACAATAGCAAAATTAAATATGCTGCCAATTTTAGATGATGTTGGTAAACATGCAACAACAGAACTAATAATAAACAGATCCGAAATTCCTCGTTCTCACAATCTAAAAATATTTTCTGGCTTTATATAACCTGCATAGGGTTGATAAACTGTAGAAAATGAATCAGTTAATCATTAAAAGAGTATATTTTAATAAATATTTAGTGTTGTTTATTTTTAACTCAAATCCTGTTTGTATTTATGTCTGCTGTATCAAAATATTGTCACAAGCTAGGTGAAAAATATATCTGCGTTTAGATTTAAAGACAACGCAAAATAAATGTAATTTTGGCTTGTAAAAAGTACTTTGAAGAAAATTATTCATTACGTTTGTCTGAGCAAAATTTATATTTTCTTTGTAAAACTTTAGTCATGTTAGAAAAACTATTAGTGCAATTACATTTAAGAAAGCGTAAAATAAAAGTAATCTTAGCTCATAAAAATTGACTTTTATTTTAAAAAGCAGACATAGGTAAATAATTTAAAAAAAAATATTTGATAATTTTAGGCTTGTTTATGATCTTATTTCTTGCAGTGTTCATGGTAACCATCATTGTTTCACTTGTTGCATTTTTGAAAATTAGACAAGAGATGATGGAAAAAAATTTACAGAATTATTTAAATAAGTCTGTCTATTTAATTAGATTTTCTTTAAAACTACAGCAATTATTTAAACAAGTGAAAAAATAGTAAGTTTGCTGTATAAATTTCTATTATTATTATTATTATTAATATAAACATTAGAAAATTATCCAAGTATTTCTTCTCAGCTCTTATGTAGGCATGGCAAGAATAGGAAATTCAAGTGGACATAGCAAAATGGCAAGAATTTTAGAAAATAGATATCTGACTGAAAAAGATGTTTATTCGAGAGAAGTAAGCGAACTTATATAACAACTTTTCTATGTCTGTGGAATGGATATTCAGCCAGTAAATAAAATGATTATTTTACTTAATAATCAGAACAAACTTTGTTGATTACTTCCCAAGAGTCTTTCAAAAACTACCAAAGTTTCTGTTTGTAGAAGATAGACTTGATGTTTAAAGCTTTTGTTGATCATAAAGTGACTAAATGCAGATTAGTGGTTTGTATAAACAGACAAGAAAAGGTCATCATTCTTCTTTCACTAAATGTGTCTTACCTCATTATGTGTGATTTTAAATAATTTGGTTTTCTTTCTTCAGGAGGAAGATGTCGAGGAAGATGCAAGTGATGCTGAAAATGTTATCGCAGAACAAGGAATTAAAGCCCAAGAAGAGGTTGTTCCAGAGAAAACTGACGCTGTATTAAAGTAAGGAATTTGTTTTGGTCTGTGAGGAAATGTGATGTTTTTATTAATTTGGGTCCGTGCAGAAAATGGTTTCTCAACCTGTTTTCACTATTGGTGACTCCTTACTGTTTTTTTTTCTTAATCTCATTTCTCTTAAAGGTTGAGATAAAGCTAATGTGAAAATTGACATTCATTTTCATTTTTTTTTTATGACAAGCTTCTCATTGTTTGGTCCTTAAAAAGATGCTGAGTGGAACAGAAATTGCTAGTTGGAAGATTTTTTTTTACATTTTGTTCTTCTGAATATAGAAAAAAAAAAGAAAAATCCAGTATACAATCTTCCTGACTCACATAGAAAGGAAGTTGTGAAAATTAGCTGAAATTGATATTGTTTTATCAATTTCTGTTTTTGACAGAGTGTCTGAAGACAGCAGTTTTACAATACTGATAACATGTTTGAGCTGTCTGAGAAGATATATGTGGATGATATACTATCATTTCTAAAAGTGGTTGGCCTCTACGAGGAAATATAAAACAGGAGAGAATAATGATAAAACAAAAGTTTTTATAAAAATAAATAAATAAAAAAAATCTACAAAGCCAGACTTGATAAAAAAACCCTATTTGCAGAAATAAAACTCAGAAACAGGATATGTAGAGAATAAATATTGCCCGCAATTCTTTATTGAAGGGAAGAATAAAACGAGCAATGTAATTGTCTCTCAACAGAAGCCCTCTTTGCAAAAGTGCTAATGAAACTTGATTTACAAAGTGATTTTGTTACAAAGAATACATTTTTTATTCATATGTATTTATATATATTTGTGTATTTAGGCATCAATACTTTCATGCACATTTCATTGAATACAACAGACAAGGTGGTTTGATTTAGTTTATACAATTTCTCGTGATTTTATAATTTCTTTCTTTTTGGATGATAAATTATATAAAAACTGTCCAATTGTTCTTTTTATTCGAGTGCTTTTGGCTATACATTTAGCCATTTATGAATGTATATTTTATGAAATACATTAACTGTTAACTAGATCTTGACTGTGTTTTGAAAAGGAAAACATATAAATACATACACAGAACAATCTATTTCTTGTTACCAGTTAATATATTTCAACCTTGAAAATGGCTAAATGTATAGCCAAAAGCGCTCAGAAAAAAAAACCCAAAACATTTGGACAGTTTTTATATAATTTATCATCTGAAAAGAAAAAAATTATTATATCACATGAGAAATTGTATAAAAAACTAAATTAAAGCACCTTATCTGTTGTATTCAATGAAATAATAATATATATATATATATATATATATATATATATATATATATATATATATATATATATATATATAGTGGTGGTGGTCAATATATATATTCCTAAGAGGATAGAATCCAGGTAGAACTCAATGTCCAGGGCAGAGTAAGAATATAATATAAAAGGCTCAAACACTTGAACAAGCACCTGAAGATAGCCAGGGAATGCAATGGTTGAAAGGTTGTGGTAACAACAACAAAGATGAAGAATTTAGTCTGACTGTAAAGAATAACTCCTTATCTCAGAAATTCAGACAAAAATATTAATTCAATCAAATTTACTCTCATATTGTGTTGATCTCTCATTAGAATATATACTTCTCTTGCTTGCTAGATTTGAGTAACAAAAAGACAGTCTTGTTTGCTAAATACAAACCAACAGTAACCAATCATTATTCTCATCTTTGAAAATAGGTTTACGGCCACATCATGTTGAAACACCAGTTCCTGTTTGAACACCGAAGTTAAGCAACATTGTGCCTGGCTAGTACCTAGATGGGTGACCGCTTAGGAACACCAGCTGCTATAAGCTTGGATGTACAAGTGGTGTAATGGATAATGGTTTGGAATTGTTAATTGGAGAGCCGAGTTCCAATTTCAGTTGGGTTTGTTATAATCACTTACACTCAAATACCCTTGGGAAAAGTATGATTCTCCACACCCCACCAGCTATAGGTTGATTAGTAAGACTTGTATTACTAAATCCATATTATCTCCACAAAATGATTCTTACAATTTGAAAATATTTTCTGATTTTAAATAACCTGAAAAGTATTGATAAGCCATAGATAATGAATCAATCAATGAAATAATGATTAGCTACACAGGCATGTCTTTTAGATTTATTTACATTCTCTGGAATATAAATATATAGAAACTACCCTGGCCACAAAGTGAGGGATCAGTTTATATATTGATTGTAATACAGAATTGATCCCCCACTTTATATCATTACTTTACTGGGAATGATTACTTTCCATTAAAAAAGTTGAAATCTGTAGTTGTCAAAATAAACTATAGGTGAACCCAGATCTAAATTAATTCTCCTTTTGTGATTAGTCATCTGAAGTGAGCACAAAAATCAGTATTATACCCCCCCCCCTCCCCACCACCAAACTAAAGAAAAAAAAATTTTTACAGTCCAGGGATGTTTTCTGGCTTTAAATACCCTGCAAAAGGTTGATAAACTGTAAAAAACGATTCAGTCATGTTTGAAAATGATAATTACAACAATGTATAAATCACCATTTGTCCTGAGATAACAAATAGACAAAATGCTTCCTTTTGATTCTGTCAATTCAAATGTTTTTTTGCACATTAAGATATCAGCCTGCCTGACACAATCTTTTCTGTCTTACAGAAAAACTGCTCCACCAGAAAATACTGAAAATTCTCAAGAGCCGAAAGAGAAAGAAGACTTGACCAATGTTGATAGTCAACCAGTACCAGCCACAGAGAAAGTCACGCCTGTGGTTACTCCACCAACATCAGAGACCCCCAGTATTCAATCTACAGACAAATCAAATGTTGTGTCAGCTAAACCAACCTTGACTTCAGATGAGGTAAGTCCCTTACATATAAATATATAAAGTATGTTGGCCGATGAGAACTGATTTCTCAGTTTAAGGTTTATTAGGAAAAAGAAATATTATTGGAAAACTGGATTGATTTTATTTTTCCTTGTAGAAAAGATTGGGAAAGAAAGAAAAACTTTTAAACACTTTCACTGCAACATTTTTATAACATTGTTGCCTGGTTGTGCTGGTTCATTTTGAAAAAAAAAAATTAAATTGCCATATACTGTAAATAAATGACTATAAAGAAGATGCTGACACCAATTTCTCATGGGTGCCATCATTTTGGTTTTGATCACAGACTCTGCGGTACAGACTTGGGCTAAATGAGCTAATTTTTCAAGAAATTTGTTGAGTGACCACTTATATATTAGGTATGTACAGAAGTTCCCAGCATCCTCTCTTAAAAACTACGAGAAAATGATAGATCATCAGAGCTTTAAAAAATAAATAGAAAAATGCTGGAAATTTGTTTACATTATTTTATCACTTTCACTTTTTTACAAAACTAATATTGTCAGTTATTGAGATATATACCTTTCACAAGACTCAGTGGAATGTTAGTCCTTAGCATTTAGAATATGGGATCATAATCACCACCTCCATGATAAACAGAGATCTAGTTGGCAAGAAGCATAGAACCAATACTACTTCGGATGCTGGGGTTTATAATATTAAATGCCTGCAATGCCAGAAGAGCTATATAGGTGAAACTTCTAGAAACCGAAAAGCCCGCATCTACAAACATACGAGAGACCTACGCTGGGACAATCCACAGAAAAACGGGCCTTAAGATTGATTTTATTTTAAAAAAAAAACAAAAAAACAACCTAATAACAAAGAAGCATGTTTTACGATGAAGAACCTATTTAGAAGAGTTACTAATAAACACTTTCCCATCAATAAACACATGCCAAACACACTTTTTCATATCACCAACTTTTATAAAACCCATACTTAACGAATCTAAGAATCTAAGATCCATATACCTGCGGCCGATTTAACCTAAGTCTTTCACTGCCATACCAAACATCCCCCAATCAACATATAGACACCACCAGACAGAAACAAAAATGACCACAAGATGCACATTATCACCCAAAACCCAAAAGACCAACTAGAAATATGATTCACAAATATGCAGGCACTACCATCTTCAGGAATTATGCACATAGAGACTAGCAGACTGACACAGAAATGGCTGCTAGAATCCAAATGAGCACACACACACACACACACACACACACACACACACACACACACACACACATGCATTAACACCACAAGATAAAGACACCTGAGGTCTTTCCTGACAAATGAAATATACACAGAACTAAAAGTACCAGAACTTTCTCTTCCATAATCTATTTCCAAAAGAAATTCTGATGGTGCTTAAATAAAAGTGAAACAAAATAATAAACACTTTTTATTTCTCCTTTATCCTATCATTGTCAGATTCTAATCCATATTTGAATCCAATTCATTATAGACTAACACAGTGCTATTTTCAAATTAGTATAGATATATAGTGGCATACAATATAATCTGTTTTGTGGCATATTTTATTGTATTATGTATTGGGGGGTGTCGTTTTGCAGAGTATCCAATCAAAAGCAAAATGGTGGTACCCATGAGAAATTGCCATTGGTGTCTTTGTAATTATTTATTTTCAATAAATAGCAATTTCCTATTTGTTCCAAAATAGGCCAGTACAGCCAAGAAACAATGCAATACAAATGCAGCAATGAATTAATGTGTAATATTTATAAATATGAAATGAGGGTTGTTCAAAAGTTGAATTAAAATTTGCTTGTATTCAGAAAAAAATTTCTTTCCTCACAAAAGAATGAAAAAACCTGGATGTTGAAACAAAATAAAAAAGGAAAGAGCTGTTTGTATTATCATTTTTTTTTCTGTTCTTTATGACAATTTCCAGAGGGAATTCTTTTGTGCTGTGTAACTTTAAAACGTTGGCGATTATGGCTTTTCACAACTTCCTATTCCTTGTAGCTCTAAGCAACATTTGGATTTCTATCATCCATTCACTGAAACTTGAATTTGTTACTCACTGTTTCCTTCTACTTTTCCTTCTTTCAATATGTCTTTCCAATTCCTCTCTTCATTATGCGTACCAGAAATTTCAACTATTTCTGATTTTATCTATGTCTTTCTAGTTTTCCATTTTCTTTTTTTAAAAATTACCTTGATAAATGTTAGGTTACTTCTCTGTTTCTTTCAGTATGTCTTAATACTTTGCTTAGTTTCTGGAAGGCATCTTTCCCTATTCAGATACTCCTTCAGATTTCTGTCACACTTTCTATTGTTTGTTACTACACAACCCATATAGTTGAATTTCTACTTGATTCTAATGTTTCCAATTTGAAGCTCACACCTTTGTCTCTCTCTTTCTCTTTTCCTAATGACCATACATTCTGTCTTCTTATGGTTAGTCTTTTCTTCTTGCTTTCCTTTGCTAAGTTTTTGTAGTTTACCTTTGATGTCCACCAACAGCACAGTGTCAGGGGAAGTAACTCTTCATTTTACAATACTGTTAGATTATCTTCCATATTAAAGTTAGATAACATTAGACACACAACCTCTTGTTCTCTTGTCAGATATACTCTGTAGTATTTTTAATAAATAGGAGGCAATAGGGATATTGTTTGATGAAGTAAGAAATATGCACACATACATTTTAACCATTCATTCCTTCCATAATCTGAACAAATAACCCTTTACAAGATCAATTATTTTTTCCACCTAATGATCTATTTTGAGAATATTTCTTTTTATAAATTTGGAGAATGTAATAAATATCTCTTGTTTGTAATAAGTATAGACCTTGCCCCATTTCCAGCTTAATAATTTAAAAAATAAAAATCTCCCCTTTGATTATTTAATTTTGTGGAAACTTCTTAAAAATATTTCAGTTGTAAGAAAACTGTCATTTAAAAGTTGATACAGATTCTAAAAGTAAAATTAAAAAAATGTCATTTTCAACCCATCTTTAAAATTTTCTAATCCTCGCCAGATTCAGTTGAAAATCCAAGATTATGAATTAAGAAATTGTTAACTTGGATTTCTGGCTTAAAAAAACACCTTGTCCGAGGATTGAGACAAAATCAGTCATGCATCAAAACATGTACTGTATAGATTAACAAAAAAAATCTTAAAATACCCAGGATGTGGTAGTGGGAATATTAGCTGTTTCCTTATGAGGAAACATTTGGCAGTAACTGACCAGCCAGCCAGCCAGTACTACTTTCAGTTGAAATTTATAAGATCTTTGTATTAAAACAAGTTTTCACAAGTTCAATAACTGTTATATCTTTCTCATATTAATGCAAGCTTTTTTTTTTTATTATATCATTTTCTTTTCAAGTTAGATGTGCTATTCATTTTAGTTCATTTCAACAGTAATCATTAGTTTTAGAAATCTTTAGTATATATCACAATATATATATATATATATATATTCATAATTTAGTAATCATTAGTTTTAGAGTTTTTCATTTTAGTTCATTTTATTCATGTGCTGTTTATTTTAGTATTACTGGGAGCTTTTTTTTCAATTCCATCATTTTGAGTTACATGTGCTACTCATTTTAGTTGTTGCTGTTGTACTCAAGTGGTGTACTTTCTGTTATTTGGTACACTTCTTTGAACAGTTTGGATATTTCTGAACAAATTTGGTGCAGAATTTTGCCACATTTCCTTAATTCTAAAGTAAGAATGCTGTTATATGAAAACATTTCTAAAATATAGTTTTATTTATATAGCTGAAGTTCTAGTAAATGGAGTAGAATTTTTTTTCATTTTATAGCAGCTACAAAAACTCTACATTTAATGCAGAAATGCCTGCAATCATAATCCTTGTTACTTCTATTTAATGTTTCAGTTATAAATTATGATGTTGAACAAATATCAATCATTGCTTTGTCTGCTTCTTTTTTCTAGAAATTGCGACAGAGAGCTGAAAGATTTGGGATCACGTCAGATAATGACAAAAAAGCAGCAAGGGCTGCCAGGTAATTAGCATATGTGTTTTTTTTTTTTTTTTTGTGTATATATATATATATAATTAATAATAAAATTCTAAATCACCTTATATGAGGAATAGCCTATTTCAACAGACAAAGATATCAATTGTCTGTTTATCAACCCTGGTGTGGACTGAGTTTGAGTCAGAAATTGAAATTTAAATGTGAAAGCTAAAAAAAAAAAAAAAAAAACAGTTGAAAAACTAATACATAATTTATCCATTTCAATGTTTCAGTCAGACGAAAGGCACAAGACAGTGGACAGAGGAGGGTGGAAGGTATTTGTCTTAAAGGGAAGAAGTTTTATAAAATTAAACACCGATATTAATCTTATAACATTAATTTGGGATTATATGAAGAATGTTTTTACTTTTTTTTTATAGCTAATTATTTTATTGGGTCGCTCTGCATGCCTATCTTTTCTAGGTGGCTGCATTGAGCACTTTATTGTATGTCCGTTTGTTTGGTATGGTAGTTTTTCCAGCCTTTCAACATATTTTGTGTTTTATATATATATATATATATATATATATATATATATATATACATACATACATGAGACCAATGGTGAGTAATTAAGAAAAAGAAAAGGAAATTAAAACTACTGCTATATGGGATATTCAAAATCACAGCAATTTAAAAACAAATGAAGTTAGCTAGGTTGTGCTTTTAGTTGTATTGGATGCTAGAAATTTAAAATTTAAAGTTAAGCCTCTGTATATTCAGTGTTTCTTATGATAGATATTTGTTGTATCTACGACATATATGGAGGGTGGGTGAAAAGTAAGTAGGCATTAAAAATTGGTAATAAAATCCATATTCATAGCTTATAATCAATCTTGCTCTCTATCTCTCCATCTCAGCTGGTTTATAATCTATTTCAGTCGGCTTATAATCTATCTATATACAGGATGGGTGAAAAGTAAGTAGGCATTAAAAATTGGTAATAAAATCCATATTCCTATTACAAATTTATTGAAACAAATGATGTTCTTTATTACATGGGAAAATGAAAGTAAATCTTCATATTTTTACGGAAGCGTCGGTGGCGTCAACCATTTTCCTCAAACGGCCAGAAATGGAATGAACAACCATCTGAAGGACGTCGTCTGGGATATCATTGACAACCTCCTGAATCCGTGTCTCGAACTTCTCCAATTTGTGAGACTTCGTCTTGTACACCTCTTTTGTGTAACCCCACAAATAAAAATCACATGGAATGAGATCTAGACTTCTTGGAGGTCATTCATGAGGTCTATGTCGTTCTATCCAATGTCCTGGAAAATGTTGGTCTAGCCATGCGCACACAGTCAGAACAAAATGGGGTGGTGCATCATCCTGCGTGAATATCAGGTCACCAATGTTATTCCAGCCAGACACTTTTGGCAACACATAATTTTCGAGCATCTGAAGATAGCGGTCCGTATTCTTGTTGCCGTCATTCTGCACCACACGGTCGCTTTTGGCCAAGCTTGCATCCTCTCAAGCATCGTGTTCAGATCCTTATCATGATGCCCAGTTATGGCAGTTGTGATGATTCATGAAACCGCCAACATGGAATACAGCCTTGTCACCCCAGAGGATGTTTTCAAACAATTCAGGCTGTTCTTTATATCAACCTACCACTAACTCTCCATATTCCATTCTGCGATCACAGTCTTCAGGATTTAGCTCCTGCACTTAAGAAATCCCTATTGTTGTCTGTTTAAAAAATGTCTTTGTCATGACTGCAGTGATACTAAAAATTCTATAAGCAATTTTTAATGGCTAGTTACTTTCCATCCCCACCCTGTAAATGATTCCATCAAGAAAAAATTAGTCTGAAGAAGTCCTTTTGAAGGACGAAATGTGTTGTGTGAGATTTTTTCTCATTTTGCCATTCAACCTGTGTGTCTAAATTATTTGAGTGAATGAAAGTTTTTGATGTATTTAACAAATTCTATTTAGCTTAAATTGTTAAACTTCCACTCCCCTATTATTATAATTTTTTGTACTGCAAATTTCGGTTTGGCATTTAGTTTGTTGTTATTTATTATTTAGGTTTGGTACAGTGACCACAAACTTGAGTAACAAACCTTCAGCAAAAATTGTGTCAACTCCAGTTACGGTAAGTTGCGAGCGACCATTATTTGCATGATAATTTGTTTAGCAAAATGAAAGGGAGGTAATCCAAATTGTTTATGTTCTAGTTGAGTTGCTTCCCTTGCCTATTTTTTTAATAATATTCTGGACTCTGCTTTGCAATTTGTTCAAATTCTACTAAAATCAATTACCATTGGCTCTTAATTGATAAAATCTTGTTTAACAATAAAATTCTTGATTGATAAAAAAACTAGTTCTCATAGATTTTAAGCACCATAATTTAATAAATATCCTCATCTTCGTTGTTTTGACCCAGTCATGTTCTCTGGCATTTTTCAGGTGTTAGTCATACTGGTTAATTTTCAAGGAATTTTGAATGCAATTCTTTTTTCACTCATATTGTTTAAAATAAAATTTTGCCATTTCACTTAATTGCATAAATTTATCACACTTGTATCTTTAAAATTTCTAATTTAACAAAAAAAACAAAAAAAATGTATGAGAAATAATAATAATAATAATAATAATAATAATAATAATGGCAGTTCATATCTGAATATGCCTGTTTGTTAGGGTGTCTAGCAAATCACCATTGCAGACATCTGCTCAGGCACATTTTTGTTGGTTCAACTCCTACAGTGCCCATCTGGTTTATACTGCAACTCTGCTTAGCAGACCTTACAGTTTCTAGGAGACAGTCCATCATCTGACGTGATCAATAGTTGTGAACAAGGCCAGCACACTCAAATCTTTGGTCACAATGACGTGTGACTTATTGATAGAACAACCATATTGACATACAATTCTATCTAACCCAATTTCATTCACATAGCAGACACATTTAGTCAAATTTTAGTCAAAAAACTGAATTTATAGTTGTCTCATGGCCGCATCATGTTGAAACACTGGCTCGCATATGATCACTGAAGATAAGCAATGTTGAGTCTAGATGAGTGACCGCTTGGGAATATCATGTACTGTAAACTTGGATGTGTGAGTGGTGTAATGGATAATGGTGTGGAATTGTTAATTGGAGAGTCGAGTTGCCATATGATCAACAAAGTTAAGCAATGTTGAGATTAGTCAGTACCTAGATGAGTGACCGCTTGGGAATATCATGTACTGTAAACTTGGATATGTGAGTGGTATAATGGATAATGGCGTGGAATTGTTAATTGGTGAGTCGAGTTGCCATATGATCAACAAAGTTAAGCAATGTTGAGATTAGTCAGTACCTAGATGAGTGACTGCTTGGGAATATCATGTGCTGTAAACTTGGATGTGTGAGTGGGTATAATGGCTTGGAATTCCTATTGGGTTTGTTATATTCACTTAAGGCATAAATACTCTTTGGAACGGTATGAATTCTCCTCTTCTTCTAGCTATTGGTTAATTAGTAAAACTTGTATCATTAAACCATTATTGTCCCCAAAAAATTTTTACAATCTAAAAAAAAATATTTTCTGCTTTAAATAACCTGTAATGGGTTGATAAGTCAAAGAAAACAAATCAATGAATGGACTTGTAATTTTGATAGATAAAAACTTTAATACTAATTATCAGTTTATAATGTTCAAATATTTCCAGATTTATATAATTTATTGATGAATGAAAATTTGTATTTTGATAAACTGTTTTTTTTTTTTTTTTTTTTTTTTTCAGGCTGAAGACATTGATCGGCTAAAAAAACGCGCACAAAGATTTGGAACAGTTGTGTCAAGCACACTCTCAAAGGTAATGGCCAACATATGTAGCCTTTCTCACTCCTGTTTTCGATAGCAAAGTCACTGGGTATATCGCCTCTAAATTGTTTTGTGGGGGGGGCATATTAAGAATGTGGTTTACAATAGACTGGGTTTGTACAGGTGCTGGAAAAACAGCAATATCCCAAAAAACTCCTTGAAAAGTCCTAGAATTTTCTAATTGAGGCTGCCCAGACGCCCCTTTTCTCAATTCCTGAAAGTCAAAATGCCAAATCCCAGAAATCTGTCTTTTTTAAAAGGTAAAATTGTCCTTAAGGAACATTTTTTTTTTTTTTTTTTTTTAGTCATCAGTAATTGGTAATTATTGTTTCCTTGATTAGAATGGTTTCATGACCTCGTAGTTACTTTTGTATTTTCTTTGAGAAAGAAAGGGAGAAAGAATATGAGAGTGTATTTTCTAGCTGCTACCCTCACTCAAAGATAAAAGGCGTCAGAGATAAGTAAGCACCTCTGTCAAAGATAAATTCATACTCATTTGAATTTGTAGTTGAAAGGAAAATAGCTTATTTTACAGTAATAAAATATGTTTTAGTAGAATTTTGAAAAATTTATAAGATTTTTTTTTATAAATTTGAACAATGAAATTTTATTCACATACCAATTTCAAAAGTAAAAAGTTTTTTTGATCTCTAGTTAGCTGGTGGGTGAATTCATGATGAAAAAAAATAGATACTTTACGTGATTTGAAAGACATTGAACGGTTTCTGATGAAATAGAGCACTAAACTGTTGCTTCCTTTCCTTACAGATGATCTTTTTAGTATGACCATGAAACTGTTAATAAGATTTGTAAATGAAGAGCACACTAAAAAGATAATTTACATTTTCCAAATTGAATGAATTTGTCAGAATTTTGTCAAACCCAAACATAAAGAATTTTGTCAAACCCAAACATAAAGAAAGATGCTGCAAAGATCGAATGTGGATTTCTGGCAGATAGGGCTATGCAAAATTTATCCAAAAAGGAAATGTCAGTAAAAGACCTGTTTGCATGCAGAATTACAACAAAGACAATCACCATTGAGAAACTTTTGGCAAAGTCTCCCTTTCGATACACTCTTGTAAGGTCACTTTCATGGCTGAACCCTGGATCCATTTGTGAAAAAAAATTTGCCCCAAAAGACAGTCTAAAAGATGTCTTTTTCACATGATGGATAGAAAATGAGTTAGCAAGTCTGATTGTAATGACATCATCAGTCAGTACAAAGAATTCAAAGAGGAAGCTATTGGAAATATTGCTTTCAAGAATTTCAGCAAGCATAAAGACCATTTGGACACTTTGTTTTACTCTTTGCCTAGCAACAAAGAATATCAAAAATTGGAAAGTTTTTCACAGATTGCTGGTGCCCTCTCATGGACAGGCCTTAGTAGAAAGAGGTTTCTCAGTCAATAAGGAAATTTCCACTGACAATATGAAATAACCGATTATGGTCACACAGCACATTTTCATGGATTATTTGGCCACAGTTGCAGGTGCTGGGAATGTGCCCATGACTAAGGCTCTTCTCTGCAGTGCTTCCAATGCCTGAACAGCATACAGCCAATACGTTGGAGCTGAGAAGAAAAAAGGTAGGAAGAATCAGCTGGACAAAAATGGAAAAAAAAGCTTGAAAGTTCCACACAAGATTTGCTCAAGTCAGCTGACAGCTTTGTGGACAAAGCTGAGCAGACACTTGTCAGACATTGCACTTATCACGAAGTGCAATGCCATGCAAAGGACAAATCCATAGAGACATCCAAATTGGAAGAGGACCTGAATTCTAAACTAGATGAACTGAAAAAATGCTAACATCATTGTGTTCTGTGCCATGAGCAGCAAAAGCCATGAGTAGTAGGGGTGGCTAAAATGTATAATCATTTTGTGAAAATTTCTATTTGTACTTCTTGTCATTAAACCCATTATACTTCACAGGAAATGTGCAGCAGTTAAGAATTTTTGCGGCATTCACAAACCTTGAGTAGTCTAGATAGGTGAAATGTGTAGCAGTAAGAATTAAAGCGTGTAATTCAAAATTTTCAACTGTAGTAGAACCTCAAACTGTAGAATGCTACACAAAATGTCTAACATAACCAGTTCTGCATTCAGTTGTGTTTTAGCCTTCAACACTTGGATATTTTTCACTGCTTTCAACTGATCTGTGTGACATGAGTTATTGGAACCAACTGTAGCTTTTCTTTGAACATCTTGTCTGTCAGACTATTAAAAGATAAATCACAAAGTTTGTGTTTTTGAAGTTGATGAACATTAATTTTGTGTGTGTGTGTGTGTACACGGCAGTTTTAGTTCTTGAAACTTCTCAACATAGTCTTGGAATATTTTTTACACAGATCTGTGGGAATAGAAAATCCAAAAGTCTTCAGGGTTGAAAGAATTTCATTGTAGAAGGGGCAAGTCCAATAACACCTGAAATCTGTTAAAATGTTATTTAAAGTTTTCAAGAAGTATTGCGAATTTGTGTTGGCAATGATGACTCATCTATTTGAGAAAGATATATAAAAAATGACTTATTATTTGATTTATTAATAATGTCTTTTCTTTTTTACTTTTCTGTTCTCCCTATTGTTTATACTGCAACTATGCAACCACCTTAGTTAAGCTTCTGAGAAAGAGTGCACAATCTGAATAAGGTCAGCACACTAAAACCTTCAGTCACGATGGCTAGTGACTTTGGGCTAGCACAACCATCAATGGCTTCCAGACAGTTTTGTCTCTTCAAACTCATTAACTTGCAGGGTTTGAGTTGACCTGTTGTATAGTTTTCTAATACTTCTCAATGGTGCTGCACATTGGGGTCAATTTTCAAGTCAGTATTATCTGAAATTCATTACCCTTGGTATTCGAACATGAGTCTCAGATGTGGGGGTGGTATAATGGTAGCAGCTTAGAATAAGAAGTCAGAGAGCTGACTTTAAATTCTAGTTGAGTTTGTTGCATTCACTTACGCATGAATACTCTTGGAAAAGGTATGAATCTATCTCTTCCCCACCAGCTATGGATTAAATAGTTGGACTTGTATCAGTAAAAATAATTATTCTCAAAAAAGAAAAAAAAAATTAATGAAATATTCACTTGCAAAAAAAAATAATTCTTGTAATCCCAAATAGTTTCACCTTTAAATAACCCGCAAAGTGTTGATAATCCATAAAGAATAAATGAATCAAAAATTATTTTATTCTATGCTGATATCCATTACATGTTGATTGATTTGTTTTCTATGACTTATAAAATTTTTTGCAGGTTACATAAATCCAGAAAGTAATTTTTCTTCTTTTTTGAGATAATAATGATTTAGTGATACAAGTCTTAAGTGCTGGGTTTATACTTTTCCCAAAGATATTCGCATGTTAAGTAAATATAATGAAAGTGAGAATTTTGTTTGAATTTAGTAATGTGATAAATCAACAAATTTTTTGTTGTTGTATGTGTTTTTCAATTAAAGTGACATGGAGTAAAGTATTGTTCAATTAATAGGGGAAAAATGTCTTAGTAATTTTTTTTCACAGAATTTTAGTAAACTGCGGATCTAATTTTCATAAATATATTAAATTGAGCCACATATAACATTGCTAATTAATTTTTTGTATAATTACTTCTTTACGATATAGAGAATAGTATAAAACTGACCCCCTACTTTATGTCCACAGAACTTTTGTAAATTTGTTAATCAAAGATTCATTATCTATGTTTTCGGTCTTAATTTAATCCTCTCTTAAAATTGTTTGGAGGTCAGTGGATTCAATCACAATATACACATGAAGAAGTGAATTATGAAAAGGACATTATAGTGCCAATCCATTTGACCTCTTCTAAGCAATAATACTTTTCTCTTCCATGAACCTCTTGTTTGTCTTTTAGCATGATTCAAAAGTTTATATATTAAATTGAGGTCAGCAGAGTGAGCAGACAAGAAGCATTTTGATTTCTGATAAATTTGGTAATAGAATAAGTGCACATGACTTTTGTTGGTGCTGCTGGACTGTGTATAAGCTTTTACTTTTCTGCACAAATCTCTCATTTTCTTTTGTTACAGTTGGAAGATGAAGACAAACTTCGTAAAAGGAAACAAAGATTTGGCCAAATCACTGGCCCCACTTCAAATCCCACCAGCACAACAACTACAACTACAACTACAACCACAACTGCTAACAAAAGCATAGAGGAAATCGAGGTAATTGTTTGTCTTTCCTTTCATTTTTAACATTTAAACTTAAACCATAGAGTATTTAACCTTTAAAAATACTACAGGCGAAAATTGTCACCACAGAATTCTCTCCCTTTGCTGCTCTAGGCGCATTCTGTTGCCTTGAGACGGTTGTTATAAATAAACACTTGTCAACTGTTATTTCAAGCTGGAAATTGTCCTACCACTACTTTGAAACAAGGTTAAACTTACTTTTTCTAACTCCATTTTGATTTCTTCTAGACTCTCTATGAGCTGTAACACCGATTAAACCCACATTAATATTTTTATGATTTTTGGTAAACAAAAATGGCCACATCAATATCGAGCAAAGCCTTTGTTGAGGGGGTTTTTCTTTGATTAGGACTCTGTGATGATATTTTTGAAGGCTTTACATAAGTGGATATTGACTGTGAAGTGGTCAAAGATGATAACCACACTAGTGACGTGGAGGAAAGTGATGATGACCACTAGCGGCTACTATTATCCATGCCTGACTAATTTTATAGAAGCTCTTGGCGACCATCAACATAGCCTTTCTGAAGCTGAATTATTTTGTCTATTTATAAACAATAAAATAACTTTATTCATCGACGAGACAAATAATTATAAGTCGGGTGAAAGAAAGAGCAAAGAAATGCTAGTGTCTTCTTCTCGTATATAAACACAAGGAAACACTTTTTTTGATGAAATGAAAGCCTTTTTAGCCATTTTGCTTCTTATTTCACCCCCAGAACTCCACAAGTAGTAATAAAAGTTAAAGTATGTTAAATTATTTATGTATTTTTTAATGTAATTGTTTTTTATTTCGCATTTCAATTTTTTCTGTTTTCAACATCAAAACCTGCATGCAAAACATAATGTATTGCATCAAAATGTTACTCATTCATTCTTTTATTAGTGTACAAAAATTAAAATCTATATGCACAATACAAAGAAAGTTATAACAATTTTAAAATAGGTGTTTGTTTTTGCCCCCCCCCCCCCAAATGCAGTGGCAGGGGAGACAACTCTAGAAAGAAATTAGCTTGGTAAAGATTAATAAGCATGTAATGAGTCCTGTAACTTACCAGGGACATAGGGGCACTACATATATGTGTGGCATCTGTCGGTTTTCAGAGACCATAGATCTGCGCTCAAAGAGTTATGCCTCAGCTGCTGATGGTGGCACTACATCTGTTATGGCTGTACAGGCCCACAAGAGAGTAACAGTCTTGATTGCAATGAATGCATGTGAAGACGTTCTTTCACGGTGGCCAGTTTCCCATACAGAAGGACCTTTAGAATTCTCCTATTGATAGACTGTTGCTTGCCGTGTTTTGGCAATGCTGGAGGGTCCTCTCCAGCATATACTACATCCATAACAGCAGTGGCGTGTCTAGGGCAAGATGGAGTCCGTCCCTTTTTAGGCTGGTTTTTCTACTCAGACTTGTTTCCACCCCAAGGCCTAGTCAGCTCTACTATTTAACCCATAACTGGGGGAAAAGAGATGGATTCATATCTTTCTTTTTGGATATTAGTACACAAGTGAATGTAATGAACTTTGCTCCTTGATATCTCTTTCCAAGTTGCTAACCATTTTATGCTACCTGCACACCCATTTAAGAAGTACTTCCGCAATTATTTTGGTCAGAATAAGACTTTTGTCATCTTTGAGGCAACTTCATAATTCCATCCTCCCAGAAATTTGCATCCTTCTGGGTGATGAAATGATCTTAGTGGTTTTTATAGGCTTCCAAAGAATTGAAGTTCTTGTCATTAAGGGAATTTTTTAGGGATCAAAATAAGGGTAATATGAAGGTGCAAGGTCAGGTGAGTACAGCAGGTGTAATTGGTACATCCTAATCAAACTACCAAGTTTCTGCTGAGCCTGCAAAGGGATGTGGGTTTTCATGTTGTTCGGATAGAAGATGGCACCCTTCTGATTAGTTAGTTGGGAACCATTTGAATCGATAGGAATTTGTAATGAACAGTGCCCTTCCAAATTCCACTAGATAGGCAGCATCACATTCTTTGGATGCTGAATGGATTTTTGAGAGGGTTAACAGTAGCTCATTTCAGTTATCCTAGGACATTCTTGTCTCAACATTGTTGTAAACAAGTCACTTTTCATCACTTGTGGTTGTTATTTCCACTTCTGGACAGTTTTCTCTCAGCTATGGCACCATTTCCATAAATTATGTATATCTTACATTGATCTCTGTTAACATGGCATGGAGTATTGCAGTCCAGGTACTTGTAGTAGTACATGACGCGACATGTCGATTTTATTTGAATTTATCCTTCTGACAAGTGGGATTTTGCATTCTTTTTCTTTCTTTTTTTTTTTTTTTTAATCCTTGTCTGGAATAGTTTAATATTTTTTCCAACTTGTATCCCAAAAATACCGGCACTCTTTAATGACCATTTAAAAAAATATTTGTTTGTTTATTGGCATATCAACACCTCAATGGGTTATCTAATGTTGGCAAGATTTTTAGGATATGTTTGTATGAATAGAATAAGTATTTGTAAGAAATCATTTTGTGGATCAGGTTTCATTGATGTATTTTTGGAAAGATGGTTTTTGTCGATAATCAAATGTATTGCTGGAAAATTTTTTTTTTTTTCTTCAAAAATGCATTGGTATTTTTACTATAAAAATCTATGTTTATGCTTTCATAGGGTCTTGACCTCATTTAATTATTTTCTCATAGTTGGGAGTTCTACTGTCCTGTGCCAGAGTAGACCTGGCAATTAAGTGGTTCCACGCTACTCGAAACCTCCTGATCAGAGGCATTGCTGCCGGATGTAGTTTGTCATATCCATGTTGAAAATATGTCATACTCTTGCTGGTTACTTAATATCATCATGTAGGCAGCAGTTCTCTCCTCTCCTCCGTATGCCCCTCTCCCGACATAGAGGCAAATACTAATTTTTTTGTTTTTATTTTATTTTTAAGGAAATATACCTATTAAATATAAATATATATATTTTTTTTTTCTTTTTCAGGAAAAGAAGAGAAAACGAGCGGAAAGATTCGGACTGTCCTGATGTAATGTCTGACCCTCCCCCTTCCCCTCACTTCATTACCCTGACCATTCCCCACCCAGCCATCATTTGCCCTGTGTCCTCCTTGCCCCACTTTTGCACTGCCCAGTCATTTTTTTTTTCTCTCTCTCCCTCCCCTGACCCTTTGTCCACACTCTGAACCACCCAGCCATTAATTGCCATCCAACCATCGGTCATCATCTTTTAAGGATCATCAGGGAAAAATAAATTCAGATGGAAATAAATAAAAAAAGAAAAAGAAAAAGCAACAAAAGGCAAAACATTTGAACGTTGTAATCAGAGACCTAAAAACTCAAATAAATAAATAAATAACAATAAACATTTCTTTTTATATTTCTTTTATTTCATCCACTTGTTTTCAAGTTGCTGAAGATGAAACGAACAAGTCAACAATATTTACATTTGTAAGTGGCAACAAAAGGACAGCTCTGTTCACTTAATATTCTTTAACTTGGCAAACAAACACTGTAGATTTGGTATTAACTTTTTTTATTTTTTTTTATCCTAACTTTTTAGGTTGACTATAATCTCTGACTATTAAAGTAAACTTCTTTTGTTTGTTTGTTTTTTTTTTCACTCAAGTGCCACTCAAGGTAGAGAGTTACTGAATGATGTATGAGAAAAAGGCAGTAAGAAGTGCAGTGTATAAGGTTATGTAGGAGAGATAATGTTTAACCCCAGTTTTGGAAAAAGGTTAACATTGTAGTAATCAGGAAAACATCCTGTCAGGAGTCCGTTCCACAAAATAGCAGTTCTTGGGAAGAAAATGTCTGAGTGTAAAATCCTCATCTCAAAAACAAAATACTTATAATCCAAAAATATTTTCTGGCTTTAAATAACCTGCAAAAGGGTTGATAATCCATAGAAAATGAATCAATCTATCAATGAGATACTGATTAGCGACACAAGCATGTCTTTTAGATTTATTTACATTCTCTGGTATATAAATGTATAGAAACTACAGTGGCTACAATGTGAGGGATCAGTTTATATATTGATTGTAATATAGAATTGATTCCCCACTTTATATCCGCATAATTTCTTGTTTATCAAATTCTGTTTAGATATTAATCCACCTGTTTTTCCCCCAAGTATGGGTTAATTAGTAAGACTTGTATCATTAAACCATTATTGCCTCCAAAACAAAAATTCTTAAAAGCTAAAAATATTTTCTGGCTTTAAATAACCTGCAAAAGGTTGATAAAACGTAAAAAACGAATCAACTAACTAATGTGAGTGGAACTTGCTTCTTACTAATGGAATACAAAGAGGGAGGGTTTAGTCCTGTTTAGATGTCAAAGCAGGTTTAGCTTTAAAGATCAGGGTTGGTGAAACTGATGCCTAACTTATGAATAAAGGAGTTGGTTTCTATATTTTATAAACTCACTTTTCATGGACGTTGTTTTAACCAATTCAGCTATGGAGACCTATAGCTAGACTGGGCACAGATCTAGTCCTTTGCCCTTGCCAACTCAAAAATCTTCATGTTATCATTTTGTTTGGTAATTGTCTGAGAATTCGATAAAAATGAATCATTTTTCATTTTTCGTCTTCATTTTATCCTTGCCGCTTATGATGTTTTTGTTTGAAAACTACCAAAAGTTTAAGTGGCATGAAATGGGAACATAAGTTTAAGACATTGGCTGCCAGCCATGAGATAAGTCATGGTTGGCAGTTTTTATTATGATGCTGACAATTTCTCTTGTGCCAACAATGTTATTCACAGTGATACTTTAATATGAAAACAATGTTAAGAATTTAGTTGAAGCTTTGGTTCATCAAAAATGTTTTCTTGCCTAAATTGGGATTTGAAGTCGGATTTCATAATTGACTTCTGGTAGTCAAGGTGTAACGAACATTAGCAGGGACCTGTGTTTGATTGTCACCATGGTTGATTTGTCAGTAGGGCGGGGGTAGCTTCTTGATAATATCAATCTGAGAAGACAATTCCAGCACGCAGTACTGATGAGAAGTCTTCGACAACTCTATGACTGGTTGACTCAAGCATTAACATTGACTGGTATCTATGAGATAACTTGTAGTTGACAGTTTTTATTATGATGCTAACTACAAGTTATCTTGGGCCAACAAGATTATTTGCAATGATACTTTTAGTGTGAAAACAATGTTAAGACAGTTGAAGCTATGAATCGTATGTATGTGTATATATATATATATATATATATATATATATATATATGATTTACCGTTGTACTTGGTCAAGCAGCTCAGTTCCTAGGAACCGACAGCCCAGACACCAGCACATATGATTTGATTTATAGTGGTGAAATCTTTGTGCAGAACCAACCACACTTTTTGAAGGGCTGAATACAGAGACCTGGTGCACGACGTGCCACAAGGTCCCCAAACGTGCCTTGTCTGTCTGTCTGTCTGTCTCTCTCTCTCTCTCTCTCTCTCTCTCTCTCTCTCTATATATATATATATATATATATATATATATATATATATAATCTCTTGGCATTTTCTGATACATTTTCATCTGCAGGTGCCAGCTATGTTAAAACTTCATTGGAAGCTATAAATCGGCTCATAAAAAATGTTTTGTTGACTATTATAAAATTATCATTTGAAGTTAGATTTCGTAATTGAACTCTAGCAGTGTGAGATGTTAAAAACATTAGCATTCTGTCCATGGAACCTGTGTTTGATTGTCACCATGGTTGATTTTTGTGGGAGGTAGCGTCTTGATCATATCAAACTGGGGAGACAATTCCAGTACTTTTGAGGGTTTGAGCATACTGCACTGACCTGGTAATCAGGCCAAATTATCTGCCCTCTCCCAGAAACTTTCACTAAGGCCCACTCAATATAGTTGCAGTATAAGTCACATGTCGGTCCTGTAGGTGTTGAACAAATGTACTTTCTGGCAGTGTTCGAAGGTGCATCTATTTGATCTGGCATGCTTAGTCATAGCCCAGCAAGGTACTATTTTCCCTTTTAACACAGTGACTGCCAGCTATGAGATAACTCTTACTTGACAGTTTTTATTATGATGCCAACAACGAGTTCTCTCTTACCGACGAGTTTATTCGCTGTGAGACTTTTAGTGCGAAAACCATGTTAAAACTTTATTTGAAGCAATGAAAATGTTTTCTTGCTGGCTATTATAAAGTTAGCATTTGAAATCGGAGTTTGTAACTGACTTCTGGCAGTCAACGCGCCATGTTTCTGAGGCTACTTCTTTCTTCCTACTTTATCGTACAGATTAAATCCGACAATGATTAAATAAGGAAAAATACATGTTTATGAATTAATTGGTTTATTTTTAGTTTCATGTGAAAATCTTTGGGAAGGAATACGTTTATTTTCTCTTTATTTATTTTTTTAGCTTTTATTCTTATCTTAAGATCCTTATGTAAATCCACACACTAGTTTATATATATATATATATATATATATATATATATATATATATATATATATATATATATATATGCATATGTTGTCGTTTGGGGACCTTGTGGCACCAGGTCTCTGAATTCCACCCTTTAAAAAGTGTGGATGGTCCTGCACGAAACCTTCATCACTATAATCAAATCTCATATGGTGTTGTCGGGCTGTCGGTTTCCTAGGAACTGATCTGCTTGACCCTCATGCGTCGAATTCGACGGGAGAGTCGACGACGACGACTATATGTATATGCATATATATATATATATATGTATACATACATACATATATATGTATGTATACATATATGTGTATATATATATGCATATTTATATATGCACATATATATATATATATATATATATATATATGCATCAACGCTCAAATTAAATATATATATATTATATATGGGTTATGACATTTTGTAAAAATCGATTTCCTGTATTGTAATTTGATTAACTTAAAAAAAAAAATAAGTCTGGTTTAATTCAGTTTATTTTCAAAAAATGCCTCCACCATGAAATTTTTAAAATTGTATGTAGGTATAGTAGTATTATGACTTTCTGGAGCCTTCTAGAATTTGTTTTTGTTTATTTTTAACTTTGTATGTTATGCTATAGCTATAAACTGTTAAATGCATTAAAACTACATAAGTACTTTTCAATTAAGTCCTTGGCAAATTGAAAAATAAAGCTTTTGAAATATTTTGATTTTTTACTCTTATTGCGTATATTGTAAAAGGAATTTTTCAGTTTGGGTGAGGTGGGGTGACCTTTTTGAAATGGTTATTTTCATTACTGCTGAACAAAATTTATACCACAGGAACCCTGTGTAAGTTATAACTTATGATGCTTATGCTATATAAAAATAAAAATCCAAAGAATCAGTAATATTATTGGTCCCGATCTGGCATCTCAGCTTCAGTGATTTTCTCACCGCCGTAAACTTGCAACCCTCTGCCTTTTCTATAAATAATTGTCATGAATCCTTCGCTATGCTACCTAGACTTTATGAAACAGCACTAGACTGGTGACAAAGTCTTACCCATTTGTAGAATGTTGTATTGTCTGATCGTTCGTAGACTAACTTCCTGTGTCCCAGTCTTTCGTACACTGCATATTTATATTTTCTCAAATCTCGTGGTCGCCGTGATTTTGCGTTAATTTGTCAGCATAAAAACAATATGGCTTCCCCACGAGATTCGTCCATGAGGTAAGTTTTTTTTTCAAACTATACGCCCCCCCCACCTAATCTCATGATCATATATCGTTACATAGTCATTCATCCATCTGGGCGAGTGTCACTCTCTTTGTGATCTCAGTGTTTGGGGCTGAGCCTCATGAGAACACTCCCATTGTCCCCACCATTCTCTGAATCATACTGGATCACTCTAAGGTCAAGAACATGTCTTTGTATACCATCCATCTCAACATTGTTGCGCGACTGCGCCCCGGTAACCGTTCCTCTTGTTCATTTTGTGGTGCAGCGGACTCCAGTTGGTTTGACCCAAACATTCCTCTCCAATCTGTAAAGATTCGGGCCCGTCAGAGTGTGTCAAACATGATCTAACT